CGCCGGATAATAAACCCGACACTTGGCGCAGAGATGTTGGGGCCCGCCGGCCGCCTGAAACTGATGAGTGAGCCGGGGAATGAGGCACATCATGGGGCAGTGATGGGGCCTTAGCCGTGAGGACCCAGCAAGCAGCCATCTGAGCACACGGGCACCTGTCTCCCACAGACACTGGAGTGTTTTTCTGCAGCCTCCCCCACCAGGAAAGAGACCAGCCATAGGTGAAGGTAAATAATTACTATTATTATTATTATTTGCAGCCTAACTGATGGACATGCTGTATAACGTATTGCTGGTATTTGTAGTGCTCTCTAGCAGGTGCCATTCTGCATTGCAGCAATGCAGAATGGCACCCTCTATAGAGGACTACAAATCGCAGCAGTACTTTATACAGCAATGCTATGGTGTGGATTGGGGGGGTTTGTGGGTTTTTTGGGGGGGGGGCAGGACAAAAAAATCTTGCACCAGGGCCCTTTGTTCCGCCACTGATAGCAGATCATCAGAATTACACAATTTCTCATAGCAGGAACACAATTTTGATAAGTCATTTAGACAAAGGCTGCCAACAAGCATGCAGCTAGCCCTGCAATCTCTTATTAGTGACAGACCCACACTGTAATACATATTTAATTGTAAATAATATGAATAATGAAAGAATTATAAAACATTGATTCATAAACTTGTAAATGTAACATCTAAAATAAAAGAGAAAGTTTCCTTTTATATATCAGAAAAGAAAAGACCATACTGCTGCTAAGACTACCATCTACTATGGCCAGTTCAATACCCTTGAAAATATGGCTGACATTTACTAGTAGATCACAAAGTCCGTTACATACATGTAGGACGGTCTGAAGACATTTAATATTGCAGTCACTGATGCCAGGGCGGCTAGGCGGATTTCCAGCAGCTCTGTCATCCTGCACACAAGGGCGATGTGCCATGACACGTACAGCACACTTGCAGGGACAATAACACAGGAAATAAACGTTTGTCTTGTCATGCGATGTGATTTGTTTCTTATATTTACACAGCACCGAAATACATAACCAGACTTGGAACCACCAAAGAAACATTCACACCAGTCTCTTCCTTGGTAAAGTAGTCTATTCAATGTTCATATTACAGTCAGACAGACACAATCGAAGAGTCAATATGGCCAAAAGCAGTTCATCTACCAGCATGTCTCTGTACAGAACACCCACGGGAAACCAACCTATAAAGAGTGACAACATACAAACTCCATGCAAATTCTGTGGGAACTGAGCACAGGTCCCCAATATTGCAAAGCCAGAATGCAACCTAAGCAACCTTGTGGCTTATGATGATACCAAAGCACATACTAGTCAACACTATCATTTGAGACAACAGTGCAGCCAAGGGCACAAGAACAGTCAATATACCAAAGCAACAAAATAAATATTATTAATAATAAAAACACCAAAAACAGGACAAAAACAAAAACTGGGACTTTAAAGTTACCCACTATCCCACATAGGTCAGGATTTAGATCATAGAGGAGTATTTATTACATAGAAAATCATATAAACCCAACATGGAAGTATACAAAAGAAATAAAACCCATTCACATAGCACTATATTATATACAAATAAATGCCTCCTGATTCAGAAAAAAAAAGAAGAATGCCATGTGACAACGGGTACAACAAGAGAAGCGAGGGTGCATTGCGCATGCTCCCGTTAGTGAGCAGAGTGCATGTTCCGGTTATGCCGAGGGGTGTGCTCAATAGTCAAGAACCAGAGGTCTTGCTGCACTCCTTACCGGAACATTCAAGAGACCCGTGCAAACGGGTGGGTGCTTGTAGTGACCACGGACGGCACCGTGAATAACATAAATAAAGAAATAATGTCACCAGCACACCATACACTTATGGTGTGCTAGTGACATTATTTCTTCATTTGCTCAATAGTCAAGGCTGTCATTTTGGACAGTTTTGGGGAAAGCAGAAATTGGCTTTCAGGTACGTCATCTAAACTAAGCTTCCTTAGTGTAAGCTGCACAATGTATTTTTTTTACACTACTGGGGCCCATTGACCAAATAACCTTTTTTTTCCTTATTTTTAAAGATGATTTAAAAAGGAGAACTATGAGGTGAGTGCTTTTCACTCACCTCATAGTTCTAGACGACCTGGGACAATGAGACTGTCACAGGTCGGCTCAGTAGATCGGGAGGTAAGCGAACATATACCGGCGTTCGCTCACCTCTCGATCCTGTTACGGCTCTCTGCCCTGACAGGGGAGGGGCTGGCTTTCCCCCTCCCCGACGGGGGAGGCGGCGGGTACAGCTGGCTCTGCCTCTAGATAGATGTGTGGGGCTGTGCTGGCCACTTTTTCCAGTGTAGTCCCATTGCACAGACAAGATCATTTTCCCACCTCAACCTAACCACTGAACCATCACGTTCTCAAACAATTCATCCCCACACAGCTACCTCCTCATGTATTACTTCTCCCTCCCTTTTAGATTGTAAGCCCTCAGGGGCAGGGCCCTCCTTACCACCTTGTATTGAATTGTATTGTGATTGTAATGTCTTCCTTATATTGTAAAGCGCTGCGCAAACTGTTGGCGCTATATAAATCCTGTATAATAATAAATAAATACATTTTCCTTTTTCCCCATTTCAATTTTTTTGTATTTGTTTTTTTAGCACAGTGTGGTGCGACGCAGAACAACCACACCGCACCTCGCTGTGGCTGATAGAACTTCATGAATAAGGAAACAGTGCGAGGCGCCAGGATCAGTGCTTCAGCAGCGTTACCTGTCAGCACACATCAACAGCTGCGCACGGACCATTAAATATACTCCTGTACAGTTATCTGTTAAGTTAACCCCTAGTACTCCTGCAAAATCTTATATTCAAGTGCATGCTTTGCAGCCCATGGGGAGCCATACAGCTTCCGTTAAAATCTTCCAGGCCAATCCATACAACAACAAACTGCGCAATGATAGACAGGTTCTCCAAAGGAATGCATGAACCTGTTCTGCACATGTGCAGTAGAAGTGAGGAACTGGCCAGGACAGTTTGCAGCGGCAGCAGTGGAAGTCCTCTACCTTCTCAGACCCAATATTCCATTGGAACCGCGGTGCTCACCGCAAGTCTCTGCCGGACCCAATCAACAAAATGAAATGGAAAATAACTGGCATTCGTAGGAATCCTCTTAATGGCGTCTCTTTATTGAAAAGGCATAAAAAGCAGCTACAGTAGCTGTTTTTATGCCTTTTTTTAAATAAAGAGACGCCATTAAGAGGATTCTTACGAGTGCCAGCTCTTTTCCATTTCATCTCCTTGTGGGCTGAACAATAAGCATCTGACAGGAGAGTAAATAAAAGGAGTGCTGGGAAAGGGATACATATACCAAATTAAAAACTAACCTGATGACCATACCTCCCCTTGTACATACCATGTGGTGCTTGTTTTTTTTTTTTTTTTTTTTAAAGTTCAGTATCCCATTGGTAATGTGTTTGTATTATCTTAAAAAATATTAACCTTTGCAGTGGGGCTACCCCTGCACTGCAAGGGTTAACTGCTCATTTTGGTATAGGGACTAAAGAAAATATACTCACCTGATTCCTGGTCCTCTTTGGCTGCTAGACTCTGCCTAAGGACCTGTGACATCATCATGTCTAATGCAGCTGCATTAGACATGAGGGCGCCGAGGAACAATCCACCACCAGAGCGAAGGGGAAGAGAGGTGAGTTTTGACTGCCGCAAGACCAAGGATCAGGTGATTATAATGTCTTTCTTTTAACCCCTAGACCAAAACGAGCTGCAAGGGTTTTTACATCCCCTGGAGTTCTGCTTTAAAACACAGGCATGATGGTAATCTTTAATGAAATCATTTATGAAATTCTTGCAACACATGTAGAGGAACCAAGTGTTAGGTTGTGGGAGATATTTCACTTTTAATTAAAAGTGGTTTATTATTTCAAGGTGACAACTCACCTGTGTTTAGAATAAGCATTTGCTCACCTTGTTTTCTTAGATTTGGTTTTAACAACCGTTTCTGAATTGGCTTTCTTCTCTTTAGGAGGTTTTGGCTCCTTCAGTTTCCTTTGCTTCTTGGTTTCCTTAGGGCTCTTGGGTTGTTTGGGTTCCTTCGCCTCTTTGGGCTCTTTTGCTTTTTTAGGCTCTTTAACTTTCTTGGGCTCCTTCTTTTTCTTTGGTTTTGACTCCTTCTCCTTCTCCTCCCCCTGCTCCTTTTTTTTTCGTTTTTTCTTTACGCCAGTCCCACCCCCTCCACTGTCCTCCATCCCGTTAAGATTGTTTGGTGAGCCGAGCTCACAAGTTTCCTGCTCGGGGAAAAGTTCATCCTCAGCCAAGAGCCGGGAAGGGGTGTCCAAAAGTGTTACAGGATGGAAATCTTCAAGACTTGATTCGGAGAAGGGGGCAAGTACTTGGCGTTCGCAGGATATAGAGGCACTGGACATTGGTGAATAGCTAAGTGCTTTCAGGTTGGGCAGCTGGTAGGATAAAACAAAACAAAAAACAGAAATTAGAAAAATCACTCAAAACACTAGAAAATATACTAAAATTGGTGTGTCGAATACATGCCAACAGCACCAAGAATATTGCCAGCCAAAACCTGATGATATTTCCCCTTTAAGGGGGAATGCGATGTTGCAGCACTATCTGGTTTCTTGTACAGACACTCCTCGGTTTATGATGAGGTTACGTTCTGATAAACGTACTGCAGGACTTCTCTAGAGTCTCCCCATTCTTTGGAACTCCTTACCCCAACCAGTCCGTCTATCTCCCACTCTGACTGCCTTTAGGTGATCCCTTAAGACTCATCTCTTCAGGGAAGCCTATCCCACCTCAAACCAACCACTCAACCATCACGTTCTCAAACAATTCATCACCACACAGCTACTTCCTCATGTTCCACTGGCCCCTCCCATTTAGATTATAAGCCCTCACAGGCAGGGCCCTCCTTACCATCTCGTCTTGTAATTATAATGTCTTGCTTATATTGTAAAGCGCTGCGCAAACTGTTGGCGCTATATAAATCCTTTATAATAATAATAATAATAATAATAATAATAACAGTGTACTGTACTGCCGTGGTCGGCAGCAGACAGTTCACAATGGGAAGCAATAGCTAGACTGCTATTGGCCATTTCAAATTGTAATAGCCAATAGCAAACTGGCTATTGGAACCCCCGTCCACTAGGAGAAGGAGTGGACCTGAGAGAGAAAGTTCTCTCTCAGGTCCGCTCCTCTGCTCAGTGGGCAGGGTGCAATAGCCATCATGCTATTACAATCTGAAATAGCAAATAGCAGTCTGGCTATTGCTCCCAGCTGTTTACATTCACCTGCCGGCTGCGGAAGCTAGTCGGCAGGTGAATGGGGAAGCGGAGCGCCTCGTGGATGGTTGCTTGAGAGTTACTATTAACTCTCAAGCAGCCAGAAACTAGTTATCCAGCATCTACCGATCCCGTGGGTGCCGAATAACTTGGAGTTTATAAGACAGTAAACTCCGTCGTAAATGCGACAGATTGTAACTCGATTGATCACAATCCGAGGAGCAACTGTACACAGTATCCAATGGCAAGATCACCTGGTCTGTGTCTGTATACAGGGCAAAGGTTTCACTTACCTGACAAACCATTGTATTTTTTGCAAACTATCATCCTCTGTAAAGAGACCAAACTGCCTACTTGTATGTTATGGTGCTCCATTAAGCAAATACCAACCACAGCTTCTGCGGTGGGACTCTCAACGTTTTTGTTTTTTTTTACTCCCAAATGCAATAGGCAACCTGACTAGCCAATGGGAAAGCAAGATGCAGACAGAGGCAGAAGTAGGAGGGCAAAGCACAACCATGAAAAAACGTTTGAGGTTTGTAAAACCAAGCACTAAAAATTATTCAGATACAAAAACAGACACCTGGAGATGTCTACTCTACAGATCTAGGGCCATGCCAACAACATAAGGAGAGCCCACAGGTTCACAGCGGAGAGTAAATATACTTTAGCTTTGTAATAGCTTCATCATTTGGAGTAGAGCAGAAATTTCTGGTGGGGATACACAGAATCTATAAGAAGCCACCAATGAGTGGAAATTTGCAAGTAATAAGAAAAGAAAGTTTTGGGAGGAGATGGGCAATAAAGAAAAACGATGATCCGCCGTCTTCTGATGGCCCACCCCCTGAGCAAGGTAAACCTACAGACCTATGATCCCTCATGTCCCCCCTGCTGTAGGAAGCCACCTGAAGTAAGCTCTGGTGTCAAAGCTTACCTGGTCAATGGCATCTCTGCTTCCCCAACGTTACAATGTTCGAGGCGAATGGCCTCTCAGGCCCAAGTATTGTCACATGCTTCTACATACCCGGAAGCCCCGCTATTGGGAGCAACATAAAAAAGGCCCTGCCCAAGTATGAAGGATGTGGGGGAGCACAGATGGTTGAGACTTCCTTGCTGGTTAGGTGCGCTTCTCTTAGGAGGCACTGTGATTTTTACCTGCAAGTTGCTCTTTAAATAAGGGCAAGAAATAGCCTAGGGACCCGGGATCTCAAAATAATTTTTAAAAATACCACATTTCTAGGTATACTAACTTTCATAGAGAAAATGTATCTGCAAGTAAAGCAAATCCCGGGGCATTTCCGTTTTGTGCAGACCAAAAGCACCCACCAGCAGATAAAATTGCTGACAGATGTTCTAACTCCTCCCCACACTTCCAAAAACAAATAAAAAAAATTGGCTGGGGTCAAGTTTTAATATCATTCAGAAGCTACAGATATGACAAAAATAATAAAGAAGGACTCCCCCAAAGAAAAAGGCCCGCCTATGATAAGCATAATGCATTCGGTAATTATACCTGACCTATGCGATGTTCATCTTCTGCAATGTGAATAAAACATTTTTGATAATTTCATAATTTGAACTAAATTAATGTGAACGCAGGCTTCCCAAAAAGCCATTACAGCTTCCATCCAGTGCAGATAATACACACAAACCTACCTGCTGTTCTTGTTTCTGTATTTTCATTATCATTAATTAAATGTTTTGCACCTACAACACAAACAAAAACAAAAATTACTGTATAATAAACTGACAGCTAAAGAAACAAAAAAAATAGTTCACAACAAACTGAATCTAACAAAATTAATTTTCATTTTTCAAAACAACTTCATTTCATGGAAACGGTGGATGAGGATCCGCATAGTAAACAAGCACATGTTATATTATGACACCTCTGCAAAAGTGTTTCTCATGGGCTGCCTTACAATTACATTATAGGTGTTCTTTCATCAAAAAAACCCCACAAAAAACCACAAAAAAACATGATTAAAATTTAGTGTTATATCCCTTGGAGTATAATATGATTATGATAACCTGCATTAGGACAGAAAATCTACAGTAGAACCGTTAGGACCCCAAAATGATGTTCCACAATTAAAGTATCCCCAAATTATTATAAATACTATGGACATTATTCCCTGAGAAATATAAAACCGTCAACTAAAATACACTAGAAGGTCAAAAGGTTTGTGGACACCTGACCACATACCTATAGGAGCTTGTTGGACATCCCATTCTGAAACCATGGGCGCTACACATGGACTTGCTTCCTCCATTGCCCAGCCTCAACTCTGTCAGAAAGATGTTTAGTAGGGTTGAGGCCAAAGCCCTGTGCAGGCCCGCCTATGTTCCTCTACACCAAACCCTTCAAATTGTGTCCCCAAAATTTGGGAGGGATGCCCTTGCAATACCTTTTGGCCATATAGTGTAGGTCTACAACACACTAGCAAGAGACATGCTGCACATCCTGGAATTACAGTACAGCTGTGATTGAAGCTGTGGAAATTTGATAATTGGACATGAGTCCACCAGATACAAAATTGGAAGTTAGTTGGGAGAGTAATGTGTGGCAATGACAAAAAGACTTTGCTGCAAGGAGGCAGTAGGGTTGGGGTAGGTGGGCAAAATGAGTCAGTAGATGAGAACCCCTGACACAGGATATTTATCTCGCAAAACAAGCAATACATAAATGCTTTTAAAGCATACTTTATATACCAAGTCAATCTTTCACACATACATCTACAAAAAAACAAAAACACAAACAAAAGACTACACCGATCAGACGTAACATTAGGACCACTGAGAGGCGGAGTAACAATGATTTATCTCGTTACAATGGCACCTGGAAGTGGGAGGGGGATATATAAGGCTGGGTTCACACCTAGGCGTATCGAATATGCGCGTTTATACCACGATTCGCTGTAAAAAAAACTGCGCAACAAACGCGCGTTTCCGAGGGCTACCTGGCTGTATCCCAATGGATACGCGCAGCAAATACGCCCCAAAGAAGCTCCTGTACTTCTTTGGGCGTAGGGCGTTTTGAAGCGCATTCATACGGCCTGTAATACGTCCAGGTGTGAACCATACCCATAGGAAATAATGGGATTTCGGTGTTTGAGCGTTTTGCAGAGCGTAGGAACGCGCTACAAAACGCCCAGGTGTGAACGGGGCCTAAGGCTATGTTCACACCTGGGCGTATCGAATAAGCGCGTTTGTCGGGCGTTTCCGAGGGCTACTTGGCTGTATCCCAATGGAAACGCGCTACAAAAACGCCGCAAAGAAGCTCATGTACCTTTTTGTAGCGCATTCAGACGGGCTGAAATACGGAAAGGTGTGAACCATACCCATAGAAAACAATGGGATTTTCATGTTTGAGCGTTTTGTAGAGCGTTTTGTAGAGCGTTCGTAGAGCGTTGAACGCGCTACAAAACGTACAGGTGTGAACGGGGCCTTAGGCAGCAAGTGAACATTTTGTACCTGAAGTTGATGTGCTGCAAGCAGAAAATAAAGTGGGCAAGGGTAAAGGTTGGAGCAACTTTGACAAGGGCCAAATTGTGATGTGTAGACGACTGGGTCAGAGCAACTCCAAAACTGCAGCCCTTGTGGGATGTTCCCAGTCTACAGTGGTCAAGACATAGGTCTACAGTGACCAGGACCTATGAAAAGTGGTCCAAGAAAGAAAAACAGAGGAACCGGCTGTAATGGTAATGAGGTATGAGCATCTCAATATTCATTAGAACATTCTCAGCCTCATTCAGCTTACTGAAATTCATCACTTCTCGATATAAGTAAATCAGATCATCCATCACATGAGTTTTCTGTTTGAGAGTCTGCAAAGCTTCGATTCACCCAAATGACTGGACAACAGAGTTGTGCATTCAGGCCTCCCTTTATGGTTGGCGTGATTTGGCCCAGGCCTACCTGTTTATTGGTACCCGTTTTAAAACTTTAATAAAAAGTCAACAGCCAGCATACTTGACCTATTCAGCTCATCTCCTATAGATTGAATGTTCTGATAAAGGAATGGCTGGTATCTCCATCAGGCAAATAAATGTAAGTTCCTATGATCTAACACAATATTCAAAACTTAAGACCTGGTGTACTACCTTCTTAATAAATATAGATATAGCTGTGTCTCCTCAAAGAGTGGTTTAGGATGTCCAGAGGTCTAAACACACACACAATAACCTTTCTGAGGCAGCCATAACCCACAGAGTGGTAACGTTTAGTGTCCATCTGAAACTAAATTCATAACACATTTTTTTGTGGTTTATCTGGTGGTAAAATATGAAAATATAGACATATGTTTATTAATATAAAATGAACAGTTTGAGAGGACAGAGGAGAAGATCATAAAGGCTCAGGTAGGTTCTCCGACTTAGGTTTCATTAGCGGATGTGTGTAGGTGACATGTCCACTTTAAGTCCTGCAGGCCTCGTGAGAAAAGCAGCAGCGATGTGCAGACAGAGGGAGGGAGGGGGAGGATCTCTGTCCTTCACACAGCACATCCCTTGCTTACAGGTCTGAACATTAATCTCTTCCTGGCACGGCCACATCGCCAGACAGACTTCTCTGCTGCAATGTGCTGAGGAAGTGCTGCCAGCCATCTAAAGAGCAGCGATGCTGCTGTAGGAGAATCTCGCGGGAGCTTGGGATAGTGGGGGGAAAAAAAAAAAAAATAAACACATAGAACAGGGGACGTGTTACTTGCAATCGCTGAGCATAAAGCATTGCATTAAAACCTATCTGCATTAGATCACCAAGCACTGTACACCTGCTTTTCTCCTCAGTGTCAGGACCATGACAATAAAACCCACAACAGAGACGTTGCCTCATTAGATCAGACGTGATAGCCAGGCAGGGGTGATGCTGCTTTTCCAATATGGAATGAGAAAGGCGCCGGGGTGGCTAGCTGGAATACATGAGATTATGGAGACAAACAATGGACGCAAAACTGCAACCATCTATAGTAGTTTACAGCCCACATTTCTGCACCCTCCTGGAAAAAGGTGGTCATACGTGAGGAGACAACCGTGCAATAAGTTTTTTATGCCCGTAGGATGGACTTCCTCAATGCACTGACACCATTTCACTCAGCCCTGTGAATATGCACTTACTGGTGTCACCACTGTCACAGAGCCTGCCTTCTGAACTGCAACTCAACATCTAAACAATGTGTATACCAAACTAATTTTTATATATATGTATATAGCAGCATACTAGCCCTTCAATATGGTGGCTGCATTTGTTGCATTTTTCAGGCTTTGTTGCCCTCTATTTTTATCTGGTGATCCTACAAGTAACACTTCCTGTACAAGGTTGACAACGCTCACTCACTGTACTTTTCTACGAAGGAGCAGTGTTGTCGTCCTAGGAAAGGAATTGTGCTAGGACTACAGACCATCTTCCCATGTCCCTAAGATTGAGGGGATGTTTTGTAATTTGTAGGTGAACTAAGCAGGACTGATAATGCTTCAAATAACACTGCAGAGTACAAAAGGAGAACACTGGATTTCTTGCAGGATCAACAGGTTTTTGTTTGTGCCTATTAAAACCCAAACTGCTTTTAATGGTATATTTAACAGACCAAAAGGGAGCAAATAGTTCATTGTCAGGGTTTACATATACTTTTAAAAGTTCTAAAGCCCCAGAATATACTATATTGTTATAAGATAGCAAGGCTTGGGTGGTACATTGTATGTTAAAGGAGTTGTAAAATCCCAGCTTCTACTATCCTGTTATAACATCAGCATTGTAATAGGAATACACACTAGAGTTGTTTTTGATAATGCAAATCAAAGCTTACATAAAAAAATCCCTTTTATGTAGTGAGTGCCGCCTTCTGTCTGCCCATCACTTTCATCAACTTCCTGGATCCCCAGCGTGCTTTGTGTCTCTTTCCCTCTTGCTTGGTGTGATGCAATCTCCAATTCTCAAGACTACATATCCCATCATGCATTGCTTCCAGCAAGCAATGATGATGTTACATTGTTCAGATGTTGACTTTGTAGCTCAGACAACAGACTTAGTTATAGTGGTGACACTCGGAAGTACATATTCACAGGGCTGAGTGAAAGGTGTCAGTGCATTGAGGAAGTACATCCTATGGGCATCTTCAATCCGTAAGTTTACAATCTTCTACATGGATCTGGTTATTAGGAGTGGGATAGAACTTACCTAAATTCAATATAAAATACAAGTTTATTTATAGCGTTTGACTTATAGATACCCTTTACGACATACGTAGCTTGCAAGATCCCCTGGCTCCCTTCTCTACCAGTCAGTCTCAATCCTGCTGCTGCATTCTCCATAATCTATAACAAATGCAACACTGAACAGCAAAGCAGAATACCATCGTAACAGGCAGACGTGGGATCTCAGGTGTAGATATCTCACTGCTACAGACCATGACAGACAGAAGACATTGGTGTACAATTCAACCTGTTGGCATCCAACCAAAGAATGCAAGTTGTGTACACCAAGGAATGCGAGTGGTGTAATGTTACATTTTAATTTCTTCTGCAACATGAAAAGATTGTGAATGCCTTTGGCTTTGAACCCTATAAAAATCGCTGTGGGACAATACAAGGTATAACATTTTGTACACTTCCACACCTTACTTTTCCACAGGCTGAAGAGAGACAAAACATAATACACTTTTCTTGCCTTTAGCAAAATATAACTGAACATAGCTGCATCCTGAAGCTTGAAAGGAAAGTCAAATCCTGGAGATTCTGAGCCG